ATTGGTACTGGTGTAGATCAGAAAGAAAGACTTGTTACTAGCTCTTTTCTGAGTAATTTACGAAAAAAGAAGCCATCGCAGGCCTAGGAGATGAAAATTCTGATCTAGGTTGCACCAAGCATATGCGGTACCAGAGTGGCGTAGAAATCTCGTAAAAACCTTTTTGATAGCCTTGGCCTCGTAAATCTGTATTTTGTATTTATTACGACTCGGGCTGCTTCTGGATGCCTGTGTGTCCCACAACGAGTGAAAATGCCCAGACTGCGCCTGGCGTACACTTGCATTCCAATACCATCGGTCATCTAGCGCCGACCTCTACTTGGTCTTCGTACTTTTTGTTCAAGCTAGGTCGTTTAATTGGATGAATTATTAAGCATTATCGAGAAGTTAGAAGCTTTAAGTTATTATTTCAGAAATTGCTCAAAATTCCATTTCTTCTATTTCACCCAGCGAGTGAATGCTGCAAAATCCGTAAGATATCTGTTTTCGCTCTAATCGAGCAATGCTTCTCCAAAATGATGCGAGAAATTAGCCCAGTTAAAAACCTGCCGTTAATTTGATGCATTTCTTCCTGATTTCGAACTGTTGCCAAATATGAGCCCATTGCTTGGCATTCGCGATTAGCCTGGTGGTAATTGAACGATCCGTGTTTCTGTAACTCAGACAACAATTATTTTAATGGTTTCTCAGAAGTTTGTACCCAGAGGGCATTTTGTGGAATTTCAATAATTTTAGTGAAAAAAAAAATTACACAGTCCGAAAAATCACTTCAGCCCGTTATCAGCCCGGAAATCGTAAAACTGCTTGGCAACTTTACCAATCGGCAAGATACTTCACCATGGTCTAAAAGTGGTAATAGAAATAATGAGGGTTTGAAGCATGAGGCAGTAATGACTTAAGAGACGAAACGAAAGTCAGGATCATTGCGGTTTGGGCACTAGGTGAAGTAGTACTGGTCAAAGCAACTTCAACTGCTTGCAGTTCATAGCTGTAGAAACACTGCGCAGGTGATCGTAATAGGTAATAATTTCGGCTGCAAAGTAAGCACTAACAACAAGCATTTACAATAAATTAAAACACTTGTACTCCATTCTATTTAGCACATGAATTTGCTTTGTACATGAGTTGATTTGCAAAATGTTAAGCCGAGAATTGGAGACTAAAGTGCATACCATGTAGTAGCAACTTTTCAAATTCGCAATATGAGTCCATCCGCTTTTGCAGGGCGATGGAGATGGTGTTGTCGGATTCGGTTGTGTTTGTTCTGCGGGTGCCACTGATGGCTTAGGTGCAGATCTTGCCTGAGGCTCGACTGCAGGCTTCGCTTCTGGCTTTACTTCATCCACTGCTGATAGCGCTGCTGCGCTGACTTCAGCAGATGGTGTTGTTGGTTGCGGTGGCACGTTAGGATCCGAAGGGGCGAGAGGTTGAAGCGGATGCGGTATACACTTCTTGTTCACACAGATCTCGTCGGGCGGGCATGTTCCTCCTGGACAGGCTGCAAATCATGAGAAGTTGAAAAACTGCGTCATTTCAAAACGGCTGTCATTTTTACTTGGCTAAATTTTGCTATTTCACTCAGACTGATAAGATTATTAATTGAAAAAAAAATCTGATTTTTTAGTGCTACTGCGCTGAATTAGTCACTCACGCTTCATCTTTGTAGCATATCAAAAAGGAAACATTTGACAAAATTCTTTTATCATGTAAGTATAAAGCATGACATTTATGTAAAAAAAGAATTTGTTTCCTTTAAACTTTTGATAATTTTCAGTTACTACGTGTTATTCTTTACAGTTGTTGAACTATGCACAATTTATAGCTGCGTTTGAAACATGAAACGCTTGGTTAGTTTGCGATCGCAATGTGCTGCGTGATTGAGCGGGCAAGCACAAGCCACATGATATGCTCACATAAAGCAAAATCTACCTGTGAGACGGCAATGTTGCACCA